GTATTTGATGGAGTGAGAAAGTGAGGAGTCCAGGATGCCTCTCAGGTTGTGAGCCGGAGGGCCTGGGAGGATGGGGTTGCTCTAGTCTACAGTAATAGGGAAGGAGTGGTTTGAAAGGCAGTTGGAGATGTGAGACTGGAGGTCAGCAGAGAGATTGGGGCAAGAAAGGTAGATTTCAGAATGATTTGCATAAAGATGGGCATTAAATCCATGGGAGCTGCTGAGTGAAGTGGTATGGAGGGAGAAGAGAAGAGGACCAGGCCCGGGCTCTGGGAGACATCCAGGATTGAAGAGTGTGATCTGTAAGAGGATTCAGCAAAGGAGACAGAGAGAGAGGTGGGGGAGAACCAAGAGGGAGTGGGGGGTCCTGAAAACCTGGAGAGAAGAGAGAGTCAGAGAGGAGAGAGTGATCCACAGCGTCAAAGACTGCCAAGCACTCAAGAAGAATGAAGCGTAAGAAAAGGTCGTTAGATTTAGCAACTAAGAGATCATTAGGGACTCTGGAGAGAGAAGTTCTGGTGAAATGATGAGGTTGGAAACCAGATTGTAAAGGGTTAAAAAGAGAGTGAGGAGCAGCTGGGGTGGCACAGGGGATAGAGCACCAGCCCTGGAGTCAGGAGGACCGGAGTTCAAATCCAGCCTCAGACCAAACCTGTGACACTTACTAGCTGTGTGACCCTGGGCAAGTCATTTAACCGCAATTGCCTAAAAAAAAGAACAAAAGAGAGTGAGAGGAGAGAAAGTGGAGGCACCTGTTGTAAATGGTCTCTTTCGGGAGTTTAGCTACAAAAAGCAGAAGAGAAATAGGATGACAGTTAGCAGGAAGGATCAAGGGAGGGTTTTTTCAGGATGGAGGAGACATGTTTGTAGGCAGTAGAGGAGGAGCCAGTAGGTAGGAAGAGATTGAAAATAAGTGAAAGAATAGGGATGAGCGGGGAGGGGGTGGGAATCTCCTGGGGGAGATGGGATGAAATGGAATCACTTAAGCAGGTAGAGAGGGATTAGCATTGGTAAGGAGTAAGGCCACTTCATCACATGAGACAGGGGTGAAGGGAGGAGAGAGGGGCAGAAGGCACTTGAGTGATAGGAAATGAGGAAGAGGGGAGAAGAGGGAGTTCATGATGAATGGCCTCAGTTTTTTCTGTAAGATATGAAGCAAGGGTCCCAGCTGAGAGGGTAGGGGGAAGGGGAGTCATGGGAGATTTGAGAAGGACTGAAAAGGTTTGGAAAAGCTTCCGTGGAGAGTGGGAGAATGAGTTGATGAGGGAGATACCAGTAGGATTGCCTAGCAGCAAGGAGAGCCCCAATGAGGTTGCGTAACAAATTTTGTAAAGGACCCACTCTGAATGGTTCCATGGTTTTCTCCCCCCTTTGTTCAGCAGCACATACAGGAATGAAGAAAACAAATGGTGGGAATGATCCAAGGCTGAGACTTGGCTGGGTATAATCAGCCATATGTTAAGGGGGCTGGGGATTCAAGAGAGGAGGGCAATGTCGAGTTAAATTGGTTTACCAAGGAGTCAAGATAAGAAAAAGAGGAGCGAGTGGCTAGTGTAGGAGAGATGTCCTGGGAGAAAATTGAGAGGTCAAGGGATTGGAGATCATAGTGTGAATGAAGAGCAGGGTTTGGTAGAAGAAGGAAGAGGGAGAGGTGAAAAGCCAATAGATAATGGTTGGACATCGGAGTTCTTGAATATGAACGTGGTACTTTTGTACAGTGTCAAGATCAAGGGTGTAACTATATTTGTGTGTGCCTGAGGTGAAGTGGAGGAGTAGCTCATGGGAGGTGAGTAGGTTGTGGGTGTTGGAGGGAGACTCAATGTGTATGATGAAGTCTCCCGGTATGGGGGCAGGAATTGGGGAAGGGAGAAAAATTGTGAGCCAACAAGGAAGGGGAATGACTTGGGGGGTTGGTAGACAACAGCTACCAGGATTTTGGTTGAGTGGTGGATAGAAATAGCATGAATCTCAAAGGAAGAGAGGTTGCTGAGTGAAGGAGAAAGGGAAGAAACAAGTAATGGGGAGCAAAGAGCATTCCAATTTCTCTGCCTCAAACAGTGATCCAAGGAGAATGAGTGAAGATGCTGCCAGTACTGTGAAGGGTGGCCAGGGAGGCTGTGTCAATGGAAGGAGTGGGAGAGGAAAAGATTTAAGATGAAGGGAAATCTGTTGCATGTAACAGGCATTCCAGAGGGCACACTAAAAGAAGGTCTGGGTGCAGTTAGGTTGAAACTTGTAGTGGGAGGGTTATGGAGCATAAGAATGAGGGTGTGGAATGAATTGGGATGGTGATCTACAGGAGTTCTGTGTCCTTGGGATGTGAAGGGCATGACCGGGGTGACAATGTTCATCACTGAGTAGAGTGGAGGGCACCACTTCCCCTGCCCTCAGAGGACAGGCACAGCTAGAGAGGGGAGGCCTGGAGGAGAAGGGAGGGTTGCTGTTCTTTGCCACAGAGTTCTCCACATCCTGGTTGGGAGATTGGGCTGGAAGCAGGAAGTGACAGATGGAGGACAGTAGAGGACAGCCAGTAGAGCCTTTGCCCAGGGGACTCACTGTGCCCAGCAGGAGAAGGAAGTCCCAGAGTGCTGTGCTGGTTCAGGGGGTCTAAGGAGGATGGTTATGAGGCAGATGGAAAGTACATGGGAGTCAGACTGTGAAAGCCCGAGTGCCAAACGTAGGAGAGTTGGGATCTTACAGATGGGGCTCATTTGGTCCTCACAACAGTCCCAGGAGGCAGGTGCTGTTATGACGCCAGAGAGGAAGTGACTTGCCCACAGTCACCCCTCTAGTCAGTGTCTGAGGCCAGATTTGAACTCAAGTCCTGACTCCAGGCCTAGTCTTCTACGTGCTGCTAGAGCAGTTGAGATACTCATACGAGTATCTCAGGAAAGGAGCCAGGTCACAGACTGTAGCAGCAAACATGACATCGAGGTGCTCACTGGCCTCCTGGGCAAGAGCAAGCTTTGGGGAAGGGGACACAAGGAAGAGCGGCTGTAATGCAGAAGAAACAGGCGTGGGTGGAGTAGCCTGGGGTTTCCTCAAGACCTGCCCCCGTGGGCCACGTCCTTGGGGCCCCCCAGATGAGTCATGCAGAAGTGTTGAGGTTTGCCAAGGGGAGGGGGAGCGGACTTGTTCTGCTTGGCCCTGGCCGATGGAACCAGGAGATGGCTTAGAAAGTGCAAAGGGGCTTCTGGAGGCTTGATCTCAAGAAAAACTTCCTACTAAGTAGAGCTGCCCGCAGTGGAGCAGGTGTCCTTTGGGGCCTTCAAGCAGAAGTTAATAATGGGTGACTCATAGAGGCCGATGAAGAAAGAATGAGTGTTCATATCCAGGCTGGACTCTGGCCTCTAGGGTCCTTCCAACGGTGAGAAGAAGGACAAGGGAGCTTCCCTGTCAGCCTGGGGCAGGAAGGTATCATGGAGGAGGCGGCAGCTGAAAGGGAAGGATTTCAGCAGGCAGGGAGGTAGAAAGGGCAGCGTCTTCTACTGATTTTGACTCAGTGCAGTGCTGGGCACATAATAGGTGCTTCCTAAGTGCTTGCTGACTGCGTAACTGAACCTCCGCCCCCTCTTACCCACACCTAGGGGTCACTGGGAGCCCCTTCAGAGAGCTCCTTCCTTTCGCCTTCCTAGCTTGTCTTCTCCAGAATCACCCTTCCCTTTACCCCACATCACAAGGTTGAGGACAGACAGCTCTGCGTTAACACAACCATGTTCACTTCTTCCCCCAGGAGTCCCAGTTCCCAAACCCGATGTTATCCCTGAGTTGGATGGAGGGAAAGAACCGCGGAGTCTGGCCGCACAAGGAACTGAAGAGCCCCTGGGCCCGAGGGGCAGCTGTCCAGGTATTGGAGTGAGGGTTGATTAATATGCATGGAGTTTAGAAGTGATCACTGGTGACCTCTCCTCATAGAACCAGGTGACCATGGAGGCATTCGGCAGAGATCCTTGTGTGTCCCCTCTGCTTGAGGGTCACCATTCCTCAATCACCGTTTCTTCTCTTGTCAGCCAGTAAACACTTATTAAGTGCCTTCTATGTGCTAGGTACTGTGCTAAGCACCAGGGATGCAATACAAAAATGGACAGTCCTTGCCTTCAGGGAGCTGCAGTCTAGCATGGTTCTTACCACACAGAAGGAAGCCAAAAGTCAACAGCGAAGGGGAGCCAGGAAGTGATAAGGGGGAGTTCCGAGGCCAATGGGCCTTGCTGCACGATGAGGTTTTCCCAATAATGAGCCCCCTGGGGCCTGGGGGAGAAGTCAGAGCCGTCCTGAAGGAGGGCAGCCTGTTTCTGTGCCCCTTCCCAGAGTCCTCATAAGGCCTTTTCCGCCTCATCTCATCCTGCCTTCTCCAGACCCCTGCTTGTTCTCTGCTCCTTCTCTGATACTCCTGCTCCTCAGCAGCCTTCCTGGAAGGAAGCCTGAGCTTCTGCCTTGGCCCATCTTCTTATCTTCTTTCCATGTGGAACGCAGTCGCAGCTGTGACTTCCTTGGGAGACATGGTTTTCAGTGTCAGTCTCTCCTTTCCACTAGAGTAGTTTCCCTTCTCCCAGTAAAAAAAACTCCTTTTTTGTTTCTTTCAGCCCGGGAGACTGGAATAGGGGTCAAGGAACGAGCTGCTCGGGAAGATACTTCTGAAGCAATAACTCTCTCAGGATCAGTAACCAAAAGGCCCAGAAGGCACGTTGCCCCGATTTCCACAGTAAGAGAAGTGGGTGAAAATGAGGACAAGTTAGGGAGACAGAAGGTCAGCCCTGCTCGAGTGAGTCCCAGGAGGGCCTTGTTCCCAAGAAGTTTCAGGAAAATGACATTTCCCCCCAAGACCACCTGTGGGGAGAGCGGCCATGAACTGGACGGAGCCTGGAGAGCCTTTAATCCAGACTCAAAACTCGACCCCCATCAGAGGAGCCCAGCAGGAGAGAGACCCCGCATGCTTGGTGCACGTGGGAAAATCTTCAGGCAGTTTTCAGACCCAGTCAAGTGTAAGAGAATTCGTGTAGGTCAGAAAGCTTATAAGTGTAAGGAATGCGGGAAAACCTTCAGTGACTGCTCAACCTGTATCCGCCATCAGAGGACCCACACCGGAGAGAAGCCCTACAAATGTAAGGAGTGTGGTGAAGCCTTTACTAGAAGCACGTCCCTTATTGAGCACCAGAGGACTCACACTGGCGAGAAGCCCTATGACTGTAACGAGTGTGAGAAAGCTTTCACACGCCGCTCATCCCTTATTAAACACCAGAGAGTTCACACTGGTGAGAAGCCCTATGAATGCAGTGCGTGTGGGAAGGCTTTCAGTCATGGCTCAGCCCTCATCATTCATCAGAGGATACACACTGGAGAAAAGCCCTATAAGTGTAACCAGTGTGTCAAGGCCTTCAGTAACAGCTCAGCTCTTATCAGGCACCAGCAGCATCACAACGTATAGCAGAGTCATGGTCTTGCTGGGGCTGTTTTGGATGCTGACCCCCATACATACATACATGTAGACAGGAACAGTCACCTTGCTGCTTCTGCCTTCAAGGACCCATGGAGGCCAGGCCTGTGACGGGCCTCCCCTCCAACAGAAAGGGAACAGGAAGCCTCTTGGCTGGTCTTTGTGCCTGTCCTCTCATTGGATTTCTTGTGACCTACCTGCCCTCCAGATCACCTGCTCTGGGGATTTGTCATCCCCTGGCCTGGGTTCCTTTCTGTAACTTATGTTTATAGGTGCCCTCTCTCTGATGTTTGTGGTCCTTGTGCTCATGGAGGAGTCCCTTTACTCAAGAATAACCCCAACTCCAGATCGGTTTGAATCTCCTGATTGACTGGTGTCTCCCATCCTATTTCTTTTCTTCTTAACTTTGTCACTGCTATTCCATGTGTCCAGTGTCTCAAGCTTGGCCACTTGTCTCACCATTCTCTCCTTGGCCATTGCACCCATTCCCATGAATTCAATAATCATTCTATTTAGAGGTTCAGGGTGGGGGAGGGTGGGGTGTGCATGTGCACACATCATACCGGTCTCTCCCCTAACATCTAGTCTTGCATTTCTAGCTGCCTCCTATACAGCTCCACATGAATGACCCACCAAAGCCTCAAAAAGATACTTCCAAAACCCAAATCATCTCCCCCTAAAAACCTGCCCATTCAGAGTTCTCTTTCTGCTTATAATCCTACCGTCCCACCAGCCTCACAGCTTTGAAATCTCGATGTCTACACTGTGCGGTGGAGAAAGTGCTGGATTTGGAATCCAGAAAGCATGTCTTCACATCCTGCCTCTCATTCTTAACTAGGTATGTGACCATGGACAAGTCAGCTAGGAAAGTTGAAAACCAACCAAGGAACCAGTCTCCCAGGCATGATGAGATAATTAGGATCATGGGTTAAAAGCTGGAGGTGACTTCAGAGACCTTGTAGGCCTAGGATTCTTGACCATGGGGCCATTATTTTTTTTTTATTGTTTGGATAAGTGTTCCAGTATAATTGGAGTTTATTCATTTTAAAACCTTATTCGGAGGAGAGGCCTGTAGGCTTTGCCTGATTGCAGAAGGCCCAGTCTGGTCCAACCTTCCCAATTAAAGCTGAAGCAGCAGGTGCAGGGTGGTCGAGGACTGTGTGTGAAGAGTGGACAAGTGGGGCTGCCATGTGCAGGCTGGCTGTTGTGTCTAGCTCTTGGTACGGAATGTCCAAGTGGCCACGGACTCCGGGAAGTGGGCTCATGCCCATTTTAACTAAATGGAGCAAAACAGAATTCTTTTCTTTGTTCTTTACTTTCTTGTCCGCTGCATTCACAGCCCCACAGACTCTTCTCCTGGGCTTTTCCACTCTTGTATTTATAGTCATTGGATCTTTGATTGAAAGCTGGAAGGGACCTGAGAGTCCTCCTCAGCCAACCCCTTTATGTGACAGATGAGGAAACTAAGGCCCAGAGCTGTAAAGTCGCTTACCTACAGCCACACAGTAACAGAAGCATTCAACCCCAAGTCCCTTTGACTCCAAAGCCAGTGGCTTCCCAAGGGATGGCAGTGCCGCACTGTCCATTCATTTTTCAATGCCACAGTGATTGGTAGGTTCCCCAAGCTTCTATCACCACCTCTTTAGACAAACCCCCTTTATCCTCCTCAGAACTGTTTCTCTTCGTTTCTTCAAAATTTCATTCTTGAGAGCTTCCCATGCCTTCTGGGCAAACTGGTGTCAAATCTGAGTCATTAGCATTTGCCCATTCTTTCTCTGAGCAGCCCTTTGAATGTGTTCTACCCAAACCTGGGGTGAATGGTGGCCTCTGCCCATCCTCCCCACCCTGCCCCTTGTTGGTAAGGATTGCATCCAGAATAGAATTTCCCCTTATTGCCCCCTCTGCCTTTCGAAGGAGGAAATTGTCAAAAGTCCAGCGAACGTCTGCTTTGGATTCAAGTGGGTAGACATGCAGGGAACTGAAGTTGCCTGTCCCTGCTGGAGTATGCCCCTGTGGCCTGTGATTTGTGCCCCAGCCTCCTCTGGGTTTTTCTTCTGTCCAGAGGCTCTGTAGTTAGCCATTTTCTGCTAGCAACAGCCTGCACACAGTCCACCTTCCATCCCCACACCCCAGAGTGCCTGGATTACTTCCTTACTCCACAGAGACTTTCTCTAACATAAAATGTAAGCCAGCCCCCTGTAATCTACCTTATTATTATTTTTTTATTATTATTAAGGCATGGGTCTTCTCCCACGGAGTCTCATGATTCAACATCCCGTGTGGCTTCTTGCTAGGATCTGTGGTTCATCTCACTCATTAGCAGTGGTTTGTCCATGGGTGTCCACACGTCCAAGGCCTGGGGTTTTGTCACATGCTCGTATCTGGGATTTTTGTCTCTGGTGGACTTCCTTCTTGGTATCTACCAATACTGTTCCTTCTGGCTGAGTGAGTACACAGAGTTGGTTTTCCCATATCTCTTTCCTTTTCAATATTAATGTCTTTGTGAGTGGATTTGCAAGACTTTAGGCAAACACATTCTTGTCTTTACCTTTTTTATTTTTTTACCCTGAAGGTAACGGACACCAAAAAATGAGAACATTTCCAGATACAGAGTAAAACAGAAAAAGGATTATGTGTAAAAACATAAATCTGTTCCATGTAGCTTGCTTTTTTAAAGGGATATAATAAATTCAGCCTGTCCCTTCCAAGTTGTCCCACTTGTCTTCTTTTTCCTCTGAACTTCTTTCTCTTCTGGGCATTTTTAACAGAGGCTTCAGTGACTCTCTTGGGTTTTTTTCTGTGGCCACCCTATTGCTAGCTCCCTTTTCTCCCCTGAACCTCCTGGCTGCCCAACATGAAAAGACATTGTAATCTTGTAACAAATCAGCCTAGCTAAGCAAATCAAAGCCACACATTTAGGCAAAGCTATTCTTTGCGGCTCTTATTAGCTGTACTGCATCCCACTCCTATGTCCATAAATCCAAATCTTGTTCTCCAGACACCAGCATCCTATTCAATCCCCCAATCTCCTTTTCTCTTCTGAATGAATGCCTCACCTTCAATAGATAGCAGTGATCAAAACACCATCAGTTACCCCTAAGACTAGCTAGGTGGCATGGTGTTTAGAACATTGGGCCCAGAGTTAGGAAGTCCTGATCTGACTCAGACACTTAGTAGCTGTGTGACTCTTGGCAAGTAACTTAATCTCTGTTTGCCTCAGTTTCCTCATCTGTAAAATGGGGATAATAACAATGTCTGCCTCCCAGAGTTGTGAGGGAGGCTCAAATGAGAGCATTTGGAAAGTACTTTGCAAACCTTAAGGTGCTATATAAATGTTAGCTATAATTATTTTAATTAAGTACTCAGCTTCTTGCCCAAGACCTTGTAATCTTTGCCAATGCTTTCTGGGTTCCCTTTGGAAGTATAATTTGTGCTTTGTGAATCACCAGACGTCACCATCAGGCTTGATGAGTCTTGGCCTTGACAAGTTCTGTCTTGCTCACAGCTTGGAGTGAGTGATCTTTAGGAGGGAAGCCAGGAGACCTCTTCATTAACAGATTGAGAAGTAGCAGCCTCCGTCCCTCTGGTCACCTCCCACTCACTGCCACCCCCTTAGCGTGGGCCCCCTGTTGCATCTTGCCACGATTGCCTCCTAACTGCCCTGCGTCTGGCCTCCCATCTCTCGAACCTGCCCTTCCCCCAGCTACCAAAATAACCCTCCCTAACTCGCAGGTCTGGTCTCAGAACCCGTCGGAGAGTCCTGACCTACCTCTCCAGCTTTATGTCACCACATTGCACTGTTCTCTCCATTCCAGCCAGATTTGGCTCCCAGGTATTCTCTGCCCTCCTGTGCCTCTGTGTTCCTTCCTTCTCTCCACCTTGGAATTCCTTCCCTACCAGGCCCCATTCAGTTGCCTCCACCTCCATTAAGCAAGCTTTGTCCCTCTGTCTGAAAGTGATCTCTTAAATTTTCTCACAGTTTACTTAATCTCTTTTACCCTCATGCCTCATCCACTTATTAGTATAGCTTTCTGTTACCAACACATATACACAATTAGATTGTAAGTTTCTTGAGGGCAGGAACTCATTTTTGTATTCCCAGCACTTAGCACAGTGTTTTGCACATAGGAGCTTAATAAAAGTTTATTGAACTGATTGTCTTATTTTTTTTCTTGTCTGCAGAATTATATCTTAAGGGTGGAAACCATATTCTAGCCTTATCATTTATCTGCCGTAGCGCCAAGCACAAAACTGGTATTCAAATATCTGCAGAGCAGAAGCTATCGATACCAGCTTTCCCTAAACCCCATGCCTTCATTCCATAGCTTTTCCAAAGCTTGTTCTCCTGAGGCTATCTCCTCTATAGCTTTCAGTTAAGATAAATTTCTACCAGCTAAATCATTTTTTGTTACTTGTTTACATTTGAGAAGTCAGCATTTATTAGATGACATGAAAACAGGTTTTAAAACATTTTCAGTTGGCATATACAGATATCGTGTGATCATACTCAAGGGAGTTTTACATTTCTGATGTAGAAGTGATGTAGCCATCAGATTCCGAATGCTTCCTTTGGAGCCGCCGTGGATGGAGCAAGGCTCCCACTGGGACTGCTGCCCCTAGAGCTCTGGTCTGGGGGCTCTATTGTAGTAATCCATGAGAACTCATGATATCTCGCCAGCCCCAGTCCCAACCACGCTTTTTTATCTTGTCAGTTTTCCGCTGTGCCACAGAGTATGCACCTCTCTGCCCCTAGGCCCTTCACCCCAACCCAGCTCTCTCTTAAGAGTTGTAATCAGAGCAGCACAATTACTGGGTCGGAAAGAGATGTCTCAGTTAACTGTTTGATTTTTCCTCTCACCATCCTCACTTCCTAGATCTGCTTTCCTGGCTCTCTCTCCCCTATTTGTGTTGTTCCTTACCACCTCCCCCCCCCCCACCCCCCACATTACATTACACTATAAACTTCTTGAGGGTAGGGACTTTCACCATTGCATTTATTCCCCCAGTGCTTGGCACAGTGCCTGATACATAGGTATTTAATAAATTCTTTTTAACTCATTTTATTCATTCATTATCTGGAGGTCTGGGTGGGCATACACTTGGATTATGAGTATACAAATGCAATTCATACTGAAGCAGCAAGGAGGAAACCCTTTCACCTGCCTCGGAGTCCTCCACATTGACCCAATCACAGCTCTCCCTGGTTCTGACCCTGATCAGAGCTCTCCATGGTTCTGACCCTGCTGTTCTAACCTGCTTCCTGGCAGGCACTGCCCTCAAAGCGTGGCTTCACCACCCCTCAGTCATTCTGACAACTCTGCCGTCGGTGCTGAAAAACCATTTCTTCCTTAGCTCCTTGCAATCTGGCTTTGGCCCACAACCCCTAACCTTAGCAAGGTGGTTTACAAGACCACCAAATGATTCCCTTTTAGCCAGACTACTTGTTTTAACAGTCCATGCCCTGAAAATTCCCTGCAGCATTTGACACTGTTGACTCCAGGGGCGTTACAATTGGCCCTCCCTCACCTGGAGCACTGTGGAACCTTAAGAGTATCAATGCCTACCTCCAATATGTGCATAGCATTTTCAGCCTGAAGGGCAAATGAGAGATTATCTAGTCCAATCCCCTCGTCCAGTTTAAGAGATGAGTAAAGTAGGCACAGTAGGTTAAGTAATAGGATCAAAGCTCTATTTAACGATGGAGTTGAGGCTAGAACTTGGTTCTCTCAAGAGCCAGTCCAGTACACTCCCCTCAGCCATATGGTGCATCTGTCCCCGGGTTCCTCTGATGCTCACTCCACACTCTCACATCTGTATGTTCAACTGTGTCTGTTTTGCCTTCTCTTCCATAAGATTCTAGATTCTGAGCTGGAAAGGGGTCTAGACGTTGTTTGGGAGAGAATGGTCATTTCCTTCCAAGGCTCCCCTCAAGTATGTTTGTGTTATGGCGGAGATTTCATTCCAGTATAGGTTTGACTAAAGAGCTGCTGACATCCTTTCCAGCTCTGAGATTCTATGATTCTGTGCATTGGAGAAAAGTGCCAACACGGGGGAATCGGGAAGACGTCTTTGATTCTTCTGCCACATGGAAGCAGTCCAAAAGAGACATGACCTGGAGTAAACTGGGAGATCTTTGCCTTGAGGAAGGTGGTCTTTGATTTTTTTGTCTTATCTGTATCTGGTCAGTAGTAACGGATGTTGGGTAAGAGCCAAGGGGATCTGTGGTGACCACTGCCTTTATATTCAGCCACGCAGTTGGCCAAATGGTTTCTCTACAACATGTTATCTAAAATGAGGTAATTGGTGTATGAAGAGAGTTCTGCAAACATTGCAGCTGTCTGGAAAGGTTAGCTAGGGTATCACGATGGTGTTTGATTCTCACCACCATCCCTTATTGGACACAGCTGGGGCCACTGTACTGAAGATAGCGTAAGCCCCATTTTACAAATGAGAAAACTGAGAACCCGAAAAGTGACTTCTTGCCCATCATCACACAACTAGGAAGTGGTGATGGGAGTGTTGGCAGCAGGATTCTAACCCGGGTCTCTCCTGCTTCCCCGTTCAGGGTTTTGTTGAGTTTTTTTTTTTCCTATTACACTACCCATGCAGCCTTCCAACTAGTGAGTCTAAAGCTCTGTCAGTATTGATACCGTTGGTGGGGGTCCCAGTGTGGAGCTATGGCTGACAGATTGGGACAGGATAGGTAAAGGGAGCAGCCGTTGATCAAAGGGATCCAAGTGGAACCAGGGGCCTGGAGGGGCCAAAACAAGGTAGACAAGAAGTAGACTAGTTGTATATCAATGAAGGACCTGGTTTCAAATCTCACCAATTACTATTGGAATGAACTTGGGCAAGTCACTTTACTTTCTTGGGCTTCAGTTTCCTCATCTATAAAATGGGGGGGGGGGTGTCAGCCTAGACGGTCTCTGAGTTCCCAGCCATAGAGCCTATGAACACGGAGCCTGGAGAGTGAGAGCTGAAAAGCGCCATGGAGAGAGTCTAGATATTGCACAAAGAGCCCAAGGCCCAGAGTGACAGTGACCTAAGATCACACAACTAGTAAGTGACAGCTAGAACCCAGGCCTCCTGACCCCTAGTCTAGGACTCTATCCAGGCCCCATATTGCTATGTGCTCTTAGGGATCCGCCATAGAGAGATTTCACAAAGGGAAGAAGAGAAGCAGGGGGATGCTCCCTATGCAATTGGCCTTGACTCTGCACCTCCACACCACCCCAGCCCTAGGCTTGGTCAGCTCATCCCTTTTCCATCCCGGTTCTTGAGCGGCAAACATTTGCATCACCGGCAGATTGCGATGAAATCACCAGAGGCGAGCTCTGGGGCCCTAGACTGAGACTCATCTCCTGCACTTTGCAGAAGGAGGAGGAATCCAGGCTTTCCTCCATTAAAAAGAGGAATCTGGGGAGGATGCCACCAGCAGCATGAGTCTAGTCCCAGAAGAAAAAACCCATGGTCTTTGTTCAGCTTTCCCATCTATACGGTGGCCAATTCTGGAAGGGTGGCATTAATAAAGGAGTTTGATCTTTGTCTCTCATCAGTTTGGTCCCCTACTAAACCCAGAGAATGTTCCCTCACCATTCCCTGCTCCCTCCCCTCAGAAGGCTTCTTGTTAGTGGGGATGAAGTCAGGAAGCCTCAGAGTCAGGAAGACCTGGGGCCACCTTCCGATGCTGCTTGGAGGCAGGGAGGTACAGGGCAAAGAACACAGATTCTGGAGTCAGAAGTCCCATGTTCAAACCCCATCTATGATTCTGACTAGCTCTGAGACAAGTCATTTAACCTAGATGGGC